GCTGTGGATCCAGGCAATGGGATCTGGAGTATCCTGGGAATGCCAGCCTGGCATCATCCTGGGGTGGGCACTGGTGAGAAGGTGCTTGGGTGATTGATAGGGGTGCCAAATGTTGGGGACACAGTTTTGGGAGGGCCTGGACACTCTGATTCTCCCAAATCCTTCTATTTTGGCCATGGACTGGGGTGGCTCTGGGCAATGGGATCTGGAATATCCTGGGAATGCCAGGCTGGCATCATCTCTCCCCTGCACCTTTCTGGGGTGGGTACAGATGAAAACATGCTTGGATGATGAATGGGGATGCCAAAGGTTGGGGACACAGCTCTGGGAGTCCCTGGACATCCCAATTCTCCCTAAATTTTACCAAATCCTATTTTGGCCATGGACCAGGGTGGCTCCAGGCAATGAGATCTGGAATATCCTGGGAATGCCAGCCTGGCATCATCCTGGGGTGGGTACTGATGAGAAGGCGCTTGGAAGTTGGATGAGGATGCCAAATGTTGGGAGCCCCTGGACATCCCGATTCTCCCTAAATTTTACCAAATCCTCCTGTTTTGGCCATGGACCAGGGTGGCTCCGGGCAATGGGATCTGGAATATCCCGGGAATGCCAGACTGGCATCATCTCTCCCCTGCACTCTCCTGGGGCAGGCACTGATTTGAAGGTTTGGGGATGTCAAATGTTGGGAACAGAGCTCTGGGAGCCCCTGGACACCCCAATCCCCCTCCAGCTGCTGCAGGGGGCTGATGGTGGTGCCTCCTCTACGAGGAGATGCCAAAGGCCAAGAAAATGAGAATTCCCGAGTTTTTCTCGGCAAACCAGTTCATTATTCCTGCCCTTTATCTGCCCACAAACCTTGCTGAGGGCAGGAGCACAATTCCACCTCGATAAAAACCTTCCCAGAGGATTAATTTTCTCAYGGATACCTCGAAGGCTGTGGGATTAGGGAGCGTGGGCCCGCTTTCCAAGGCAATATTCTCACCAAACCTGCAGTAATTACAGCTGGAAGGGTCTGGATCTTTTTTTTTCCTGCCCTCCCTGAGGTACAACTTGAACASAAAAATAAAGAGGTAATTAAAGGATCGTGTCCAGCTAAGTGGGAGTGGGTGGGGAGACGTAATTTTCCCTTTTTTCCCTCGAGTGTGAGCTCTGCCCGCACGGAAAGCACAAGTTTCCTGAAAAGATGAAAAGATTTTCCCTCATTTTTCTTTTTTTTCTCATTTCTGCTGCCCTCCAAAGAGCCCAGGAGGCTCGGGGATGATCCAGAGGGGCCACTTCCCTCCAGGGATTTGGGACAGCAAGAGGAAAGGGTCTTTTAAAGGAGACAAAAACTCCCAGAAAATGGAATTAACACCTTGAATCCAATCTGAGGGTRCTCGGGTGCTCCTCCCTGAGGGTTTTGTCCTGTCGCCCCGTGATCCGCCCCTCTCCAAGCCCCTCATTCCACATAATTCCCCCATTTTCCAGTTTCTTTGGAGATTTMCAACCAAACTGTGCAGATTTCTCCAAAAACCAGAAGAATTCCAATTCCCAAAATCAGGGAGCCTCCCTATCYGAGAGGAATCTTTCATTTTTCAGACAGATTTTTTTCCCCCTGATGCCATTTTAACCCCGATTTTTGATACTTTAAGTGGTCATGAGAGCATCCCTGGAAGGGAAAGGCAGGTCCAGAGAATTTTCCTTGGACAATGGGGCTGGCGTCATGGCAATCCAGGCTCATCCAYGCTCTGAGTGCCAGAAAATGAGGATGCAAAACTTCCAGGCAGCAGCGGGGGTGGAAAACTGCGGGGGTGCCCACCAGCTCTGTCAGTGACGCCCTTGTTTTGGGATATTCCTTTGGATTTGGGATTCCTCGCGGAAAAGAGGGCTTGGCTTAGCTCTAAGAGCAGGAGCAGATGGCCGGGGCTCACGTGGCCATCACCTGGTGAGGACACCTGGGATGGGCCATGGCATGGATGGATTTTCAGAGCTTGGAGAGCTCTTTGGGGGAGAAAAAGGGAAAAGCTGGAGGGAAAGGGGATGTTTGGGCTCATCCTTCCCTGGAATTCYGTCGGAGAGGCGGCAGTTGGGTCCCCACCATCCTCCAGCTGCTCCATGGGCAGCACTGCTGCCATGGTGGGACATTCCCAGCTGATGTCACAGGATGGTGCAGCCTCACTCCTCCCTCCCATCGGAGTGGGGCTCCAGAAAATCGGGTCCCCACTCAGGATTTTGGGATTTCAGGATCTGCCCTGTTGGGAACAGCAGRCARAGCACAGAGCAATCGCTTAGAAACTCATTTTCCTCCCCGGAATTTGTCATGTTGTGACAAATCGAAGCAAAAGTCTCGCCTGTGCGGGGGTGGCATTCACAGGGGGGGGATTTTTCCTGCTCCCAGCGTGGGTTGGAAATCTCTGGAGGGAATCAGGGCTCACTCCTGGTGAGGATTCCATCTGGAAAATGRGAGAGGTGACACCTCTGTAACGAGGGCTGAGCACCTCAGGATGAAGCATCTCCTGGGTGAGGTGGTTGTGGAGCAGGGGGAGATGTCAGGTGTGGTGGGACACCTCCCCATCCCAAATCCCTCCTGGCTGCTCCGTCTCTGATTCCCGGTGTCTCCCAACAGCACCATCTGGTACGAGCTGCACGCCCGGGAATGGCCCTTCAAGACTCAGCCAGCCGAGGCCATCATCTGGCAGGTGGGGAGGGGGATGAAGCCCAACCTCAGCCAGATCGGGATGGGCAAGGAGATCTCGGTAGGTGCCGYGGGGTCCTGGGTGGGTGGGTGTGGATTGGGAACTTTGGAAAAACCCTCTGGCTCTGCCGGGCTCATCCAGTCAGGCTTGGTCCTGCTGCTGTGGGCATTGGAATAGCCCCTGTGCTCCAGCTCTTCCCAAGCATGTGGGGATGGCCTTGTGGGATGGGCACATTCCCTCATCCCAAACCTTCACAATGATGTGGGGATGGCCTTACGGGATGGGCACATCCCTTCATCCCAAACCTTCACAAGGATGTGGGGATGGCCTTACGGGATGGGCACATCCCTTCATCCCAAACCTTCACAAGGATCCAATGATGGAGATGGGTCCTTATGGGATGGACACATCCATTCCATCCCAGCTCTTCCCAAGGATATGGGGATGTAAATGGGGTCCTCATGGGATGGACACATCCCTTCATCCCAAACCTTCCCAAGGATGTGGGGATGGCCTTGCGGGATGGGCACATCCCTTCATCCCAAAACCTTCACCAGGATRTGGGGATGKAAATKGGGTCCTCATGGGATGGACACATCCCTTCCATCCCAGCCCTTCCCAAGGATGTGGGGATGGCCATGTGGGATGGACACATCCCTTCCATCCCAACTTTCACAAGAATCCTGTGATGGAAAAGGGATTCTCATGGGATGGACACTTCACTTCCATTCCAGACCTTCCCAAGGATAGAAATGGGTTCTCATGGGATGGACACATTCCTTCCGTCCCCTCCTAAGGATGTGGGAATGGAGATAGGTCCTCACGGGATGGACACATTCCCTCATCCAGCCCTTCATGAGAATTCAGTGATGGAAATGGGGTTCTCATGGGATGGACACATCCCCTCATCCCAACCTTCACAAGAATCCAATGATGGAGATGGGTCCTTATGGGATGGGCACATCTCTTCTATCCCTTCACAAAGATGTGGGAATGGAATGGGTTCTCGTGGGATGGACACATCCTGTCCATCCCAGCTCTTCACAAGGATGTGGGGATGGAAATGGGATCCTTGTGATGTGGACATGGTCATGGTGGGAAAGGGGCTGGCTCAGTTCCTGGTGGGAGAGGGCATGGCCGAATTCCTGCTGGGAGAGGGTGTGGCTGAATTCCTGCTGGGAGAGGGTGTGGCTGAATTCCTGCTGGGAGAGGGTGTGGGTGAATTCCCGGTGGGACAGGCCTGGCCAGCTTTCCTCACGCTGTCTCCCTGTGTCCCCAGGACATCCTCCTGTTCTGCTGGGCCTACGAGCAGGAGGAGAGGCCCACCTTCACCAAGCTCATGGACATGCTGGAGAAACTGCCAAAGCGCAACCGCCGCCTTTCCCACCCGGGCCACTTCTGGAAGTCGGCAGAGTGAGTCCCCATCCCTGCCCTTTATCCTTCCCTATTCCCAGATTTTACTGATGTGGGAACACCCTGCTCGAGGTCCCTCCCCAGACCYGTGGCCATCGCTGCTCCAGCCCAGTCCCTTTTTCTCCCATGGCCAAATCCTGCTCYGTTCCACCACAGTCACATCCCYCTGCTCCAGGAAACYGGCTCCCCAGTYGGGATCTGGGGATTTTGGGATYTGCCCTGTTGGGAACAGCAGGCAAAGCACAGAGCAATCGCTTGGAAACTCATTTTCCTCCCCGGAATTTGTCATGTTGTGACAAATCGAAGTAAAAGTCTCGCCTGTGCGGGGGTGGCATTCACCGGGGGGGAGGGGGGATTTTTCCTGCTCTCAGCGTGCATCCCTGGAGGCTGGAAATGGGAGTGGAGGGATGGATGTGAGCTCAGGGAGAGAAGCCARGACATTTTGGATGCTCCAGGAATCCCTCTCGGTCCTTTCTGAGGGTTGGAGAGGCCGATTCTTCCTGCTGCCGCTAATAAAATTCCTCTCTTCCTTATCTGGGCTGCCCYAAGCGTGTCCGGAATGTCCCCTGTGCCACTCCCTGTCCCTGGGGGGCCGCCGGGAGCCGCGCCAAGCCCGCGGYCAGGTGGCCCCCAAATCACCCGGAACGGGAGCCGTTCATCCGGAGGGAAGAGAATTCCCGAGCCAGGGCGGCTCCGGCAGCCGGGCAGGGAATGCTGAAGGGTGCCGGACCCCGGGGCAGCTGTGGGATCGCTCCGCTGCGTTTGGGAATGTTTTTGCAATCGCTGAGCCGCGCTCTGCCCGCCCCGGGCCGGGGCTGCCCCGCAGCTCCCTGTTAATTACCGCCCCAATCTTTGGCTAATTAGGGTGTGCCAGCTCAGCTTTCCACGCGAGCTGATTCCTTCCGCAGGGATTCAGCTCCGGCTGCTGTCCCTGCATTAGGTCCTGGTTTCCCCGTGGGATCCCGGCTCRCCCAGCAATCCTGGCCGTGCGCAGGGATGAGCGGGTTGTGGAACCCTCCGGCTGTGCCCTCCCTGCCCCAGGGACCGGGCACCGAACCCCTGTGGGATCCTGGGCRCGCAGGGATGGGGGTGGTGCTCCCACGGAGCCCTTTCCCCTCTGGACGATGCTCCAGGAGCCAGGCGGGGCTGCCAGGGAGCTGCAGGAATTMACACCTTCCCCCGGTGCTGCCGCTTCTGGGAGCTCTTCCAGGAGATTTTTTCCCGAAGATTTCCCCACAAACCCCCGCGTTTTCCTGGGAGGAAGCGCTCGGTGCTGACTCTGCTCCTTGTGTCCCTTCCAGGCTGTGACGGGAGGAGTTAAGGGACGGTGCCTTCCTCCCCCAGCGGGTCTCCTCTTCCTCTCCGCTTCCCAGCCCGCGCTACGGAGGAGCGGCGGGGCCGACGGCGGGCTCTTCCTCCGCAGCGCTTCATCATCCCGGGAATCCTCTCGGCGCGGGCGGGAGCAGCCCCGGGAACGCCCGGCTGCGGTGGGAWGGGGACAGCGGGCGGCTCTGCGTGCACAGGGGGTGGCTCTGGGGACAGTCCCCTCCACCCCCCAAGCAGGGGTGACCCACAGGACAGTGACTTCAACTGACCCCCAGGGCTCCTCCGATCCCAGCCCAGCGCTCACGATGATGCTCGGTTGGGGAGGGCTCCTTCTCGGTTCTCTGCGGGTTTATTTAATTCCCTTTATTTATTTCTTTGTGTTTTTCGTCACGGAAGAAAGGGGGAATGTCGCTGATTCATGAGTTCATCCCCGGATCCTGCGGGRCCGGGGAGTGCCACTGCCATTAGCTGCCCCCCGCGGGGAAATGCATCTGTCCCGCCGCCCCCTCGCCCCCGCAGCCCCTTCGTGGGCAGCGCTGACCTTTCACAAGTGGCTTCTCTCCCTCCCAGCCGCGGCCACTTACATGTCCCCCCCGCGGGTGTCCCTCCCAGCGGGGCACATCTCCACATTCCCGTTAATTTATTCGCTTTTCCCGGTGCGCCTCTCATCAGCCAGCCCTCTCGCCCTCCCCATCCCTGCCCTGCTCCCGGCTCCCAAAACCCCGGSACTGGGGATGCTCCGGGGCTGGGCACGGCAGGGCAGCTGCAATTGGGATCCTTCCCCGGTCCCGTGGCCTTCCCGGGCTCATTCCCGGAGCTGGGAAYGCAGGCAGGCTCTGGTTGTACAGGGCACTGGGACATCTCAGACAGGCCCGGGACCATTTCCCCCCACATTTTCATCTCCCAAATCCCAGAGCTTCCCCAAAAATCCCCTTTGGGAGCTGCTGTTGCCACCTGAATTCCATTTGCTGGCATTTCCCTCTCCCCTCCAGCCCCTCGGATGAGCTGTCAGATGAGAGCAAATTGCATTCCCGGGCTCTCATGGAACAAAATTGCCTGACAGGAACCATCCTGGATAATTCAATTGTGGTCTCAGCTCACTTTAATTTGGAGCCGTGACGAGGCTTTGCAAACTTAACCAGCCCTGGTGGGTTTGGCTGCTCCTCCAACTCCTCCTTGCTGCTGTTGGAAGCACTTTAGCCCGAGTAAACGAAGATCAGAAGCCTAATTGCAGCTGGGACGAGATGGGATTTTAATTGTGGGGGAATTAAATCCCCACACGTGGGAAAATTCCACGGTGGGYGGGAGCAGGGAGGGAGGGAAGGGGAGATCCAATCCCCAAAAGGATCTAGAGGAGTTTCCTGGTGATGTTTGTGGGATGTGCAGCCACATCCCAGTCCGAGGTGCTGTGAGTGGGGTCGGGATGAGGTGGGATGGCCGAGTGGGATGAGCAGGCTGAGCCCTTGTTTGGGTTAATGGTCCCGGCCCCAGCAGCACAATATGGGGTCYCCGAGCTCGGGCTCATCCCCTCATCCCATTCCTCTGTCTCCTTCCCATCCTACCTCTGCCCTCACCTTTTCTCCTCCGCTGGCCCCGCTCCCCGCCCCGGCTCCTCCTGCTGCGCACAYGTGCCATAAACGTTGCACTAAAACCTCGGAGTCTCTCTGAGTTTTCACCAATGCCTTCACCCGTGCTGGTCCCGGGCACTGGGGATGGCTGAGCATCCCTTTCCAGGGGTTTTGGGTGCCAGGGGTGTCTCACCAATCCCCAAACCCCGCTCAGAGGGAGCCATGGCYGGGTCCTTCTGGCTGGGTGTGTTTGGTGTCTGAGCAAACCCCTCGGGTGAGGTGCTGGAAGGAGGAAGGAGGTGCCACCAGGGGTGATGGATGTCACTGAGGTGGCAAAGGGCTGAGCCTGGGGGTGTTGTGTGGATTTAGGATGGAAGGGATGATATCCATATTGGGGGCATTGTGGGTTTGCTCCCTGTGCCCCAAATCCTCACCAGGCCTGGGAGGTCTCCCCATGGTGTGTCCCCCATGGAATTTATCAGCTGAGAGTCCAGGGAGCCATGGACTGATGGGGGCTGGGCTGGTTCCCCCGTGGTGTCTGCTGCAGCCTCGGCCACAGAACCATGGGATGGCTTGGGTGGGAAGGGACCCTAAAGCTCATCCCATCCCATGGGCAGGGACACCTTCCATTATCCCAGGGTGCTCCGAGCCCCRTYCAGCCTGGCCTGGGACACTGCCAGGGATCCAGCWTCTCTGGGAATTCCATCCCAGCCCCTCTCCACCYTCACACTCCTTCCCAATATCCCATCTTCCCAATATTCCCCCTCTCAGTTTAGAGCCATTCTCTCGTCCTGTCTCATTCCCTTGGCCATGCCGCTGGATTTTGGGCATTTGAATGAAACAAAACATTCCCACAACCAACGCTTCCCTCTTCCCCACCCTCTCCCTCCCCCTCTCTCCTTGCCGTGGTGTCAGCCTCAGGCACAGCACAATGGCTGCCCCGTGTTTATCCCAAACGAGCTCCAAGGAGCAGCTCCTTCCCTTCCACCCCATGTAATTCCCATCATTCCTTCTTATTTTTGCAAATCTTCATTATTAAAAAAAGAAAACCAAACCAAAAACAAACCCACCAAACCAACAAATCTCATTTTTGCTGTTTGGTTTTGGTTTGTTTGGTTTGGTTTGTTTTTTTTTGACTCTGCCTTTGTGAAGGATTTTTTTTTTTGGTTTTTTTTGGGCCAGTTTAAAAATATCCAGCGCTTCAGTGGGCAGGGATTGCAGGAGCAGCTCTCCACAATGGCCTCTAATAGAGGCTGTGAAGGATGGACAGGGTTTAGCCGTGAGCCAGAACAGATCCAGGGCTGTTTCCAGCTGTGCCAGGCAGAGCTGGGCTTGGCTCTGGRCTGGATTTGAGGTGCAGGAGCCCCCCCACCCCCAGGGCACCCCCAGGGCACTCCCAGGCTCTCACAGCCCCCGTGATGCTCTCCTGGCTCGGTCCTGCAGCTCTCAGCTATCCCATCCTCCCATCATCCTCTCAGGCTCTTCCCAGAGCTCCCTGAATTTGCTGCTTCCCTGAGTTTTTCCCCAGCATTTGGGGACATCACATTTGGGGACACCGCGCATGGGCTCTCCCAGTGGTGGCCCCAAAGCTCCACGCCCTCCCCTGATCCAGCTTTTCCTTTTTTCCACCTTTCCCCATAAATTCCCAAACCCTTGCTGAGCCCTGACCGGGCAATTTCTGGGAATGATGAGCTCAGAGTTCAGCCCCCATGACTTTTATCCAATTCTTGATACGATTTTGGATGGGCAGGAGGCAGAAATGAACATCTTGGAGGTGGAGGAGCCRCTCAGCCTTTCCTTGAGTGTGGAATCCTGGAATGGCTTGGGGTGGAAGGGACATTTGAGCCCATGCCATTCCAGGTGTAAGGGACACTTTCCACCATCCCAGGTGGCCCCAAGCCCTGTCCAGCCCGGCCTTGGACACTGCCAGGGGCAGCCACAGCTTCTCTCTGGATAAAATTCCCTCCCAACACCCCATCCGACCCCTCCGTGTGCCAATTTAGGATTCTTTGGAAGATTTGGTGCCTGGAACTTGGTCCCTGCATCCCAGTGAGGAGAAAGGCTCTGCACTGGTGGTGCCATGAGCCTCTCCTGCCCCTCAAACCCCCCC